TGTAGAGAATACAGTAGTCCAATATTTTCAGTAGTTCGACATTCATTGTATGAAAGTCTTTTATTCATGGTCCATTGAGTTTGTACAATTTATGATCAGCAGCAGAGCTCTTTGAATATGTCCATCAACCCACACCTATTTTATTTATATCCTGTCAGTTTTGTATTTTGTACTGTACTGGTCATTTGTATTTAGCACTGCAATTGAGAGAGTAATAATTACTCTCTGTAAAACAAGCTTGTGTGCCTGAGATGTATCATTACATGCTGGGATGTCACCAGATGATTAATCCCTTTAAAAGATGAATGGAGATCCAGTTCTAGCATTTACAGATTCTTGGCCTGATTTTCAAAGGTGCAGAGTAACCACAACTCTCTGATTTCAGTGCAGCTGTTTGTGTTCACCACTATGAAAATCAGGCCATTTGTGTCTGTGACATTGTTTTAATGGATTAATGCAGTCACAATCTGTTGTATGGCAGACTGAAGAGCAGTGGTTTGATTTTCTTCGTCTTTGTCAACCATTCCATATTAAGTGGCAGGATGAGATGGGCAATGGAAGATATTCATAGCTGAACCCAGCAACTGCCTCTGTCAACACTGGTTTGGTTTTGGCAGATTTCTTGGTATGAACATATTATTAGGATGGAAGACCAACAAATTACATAGCACATATACCAATGAATGCTGCTACATAAAAAGAGATCAGGTGATCAACAAAAGCTTTGGTGGTGCAATAAGATTGCCAGTGATGGACATAAACTGAATATTCAACCAGATTACTTTAAGAACCTTGCTAGAGATTGTTCTGGTTGGGGCTCGTTCTGCAAGGAGGCTATGTCCCTTGGGATTTCCCATGATGATGATGTTCAGATGATGCAGTCACAGCTTGGAATTTATTGACTAATATATTTTAATACCAGATGCTCAGTCTCCTCTTTATGGAAAAGAGGAGGAGGAGCAGGGAGAAGAAGAGGGATAATTTACTTCTGATGATGCAGTCAACAATGAACTATGAATGAACAATGAACAATGGTGACTAAGAGGGGAGGTTTCAGAGTAACAGCCGTGTTAGTCTGTATTCGCAAAAAGAAAAGGAGTACTTGTGGCACCTTAGAGACTAACCAATTTATTTGAGCATGAGCTTTCGTGAGCTACAGCTCACTTCATCGGATGCATACCGTGGAAACTGCAGCAGACTTTATATACACACAGAGAATATGAAACAATACCTCCTCCCACCCCACTGTCCTGCTGGTAATAGCTTATCTAAAGTGATCATCAAGTTGGGCCATTTCCAGCACAAATCCAGGTTTTCTCACCCTCTGCCCCCCCCCCCCACACAAAATTCACTCTCCTGCTGGTAATAGCCCATCCAAAGTGACAACTCTCTACACAATGTGCATGATAATCAAGTTGGGCCATTTCCTGCACAAATCCAGGTTCTCTCACCCCCTCACCCCCCTCCAAAAACACACACACAAACTCACTATCCTGCTGGTAATAGCTCATCCAAAGTGACCACTCTCCCTACAATGTGCATGATAATCAAGGTGGGCCATTTCCAGCACAAATTCAGGTTTTCTCACCCCCCCACCCCCATAGAGTGAGTTTGTGTGTGTATGGGGGTGGGGGGGTGAGAAAACCTGAATTTGTAAGCATAATTTTGTCACCTTTATGTAAATACAGTTTTCCAAGTTTTTCCAAGTAGTGTTCATCACTTGGTAGTGTCTCTGCTCGCCTCTGTATTCCTGGTTCTTTGAATTATATAAAAAAACTGCACTGTATTAATTGATGCATAATAGGTAAAATTATAAAGATGTATAGCTATTATAAAGTATAAGCACAAGGAACCAGAGATAAGGTTGAGCTTTTAAAACTTGAACTCTGCACTTTCTGATTTTTGCATCCTTGAATTTTTAAAAATCTTGTTGTGTTTACAGTATTGCATGGAATTTCCTTGGGGTTTTGTGTGTGTGTTTAGCAAACAAGGATAATAATAGAAACTCCCAATGTAGCTGTAATTCCAGGACCTAGAAGTAACTTGCTTCCTGAACCCTCCTTCCTTTGAGTGAGGGTTTTGAACCCTCCTTCATTTGATGTTTATTTATCAGCTTTAGTATTACACCAGAGATTATAGTGTCACACCTATTTAATGTAACAACTGTGTACTTGATGAATGCATCCTTATTAAGTCAAATTTATGCAAATACTGTTCTGATTTAGCAAAACACTCACTGAGAATCTGGGAGTATTTCCCAGTTCGGTAAGTATGCTATTGTATTATTTAGACAACAACTAAGATCACAAAATATTTCACAAATTGTCCAGATTTAGCACCACTGTAATGGCTTGTGATGCGAAGGATAGCAGCCACGGACAGGCGGGGAGAAGAGATTTTGCATGACTGCAGCAAACTTTTGCACTTACCAAATGCACTTTGGTCTCTTTAACATCTATATCAGAGCAAACTATGGCCCGTGGGCCACATCTGGCCTACGGGCCCATCCTGCCCAGCCCCTGAGCTCTAGGCCAGGGAGGGTAGTCCAGCCCCTATCCTGCTGTCCCCCCTCCCCCGCAGCCTCGCTGCGCCACCAGTGCTCTGGCCTGCTGCTTCTACTGGGCAGCGTGGCAGCGAGCTCCTGCTGCTCTGAGCAGCATGGTAGGGGACAAGGGATCCCAGGGGGCAGTCAGGGGACAGGGAGTGGGGGCGGGGGGGGGGGTTGGATGGGGCTGAGGTTCTGGGGCGGGGTGGTCAGGGGATGGGGAACAGGGGGGATTGGAAAGGTGTGGGAGTCCTGGGGGACGGTTAGGTGCCGGGTGTGGATACGGGTCGAGGCAGTCAGGGGACAGGGAGTGTGTGTGTGTGTTGGGGGGGGGGTTGGATAGGTGTGGGAGTCCCAGGGGGCCTGTCAGGGTGTGTGTGTGGGTGTCCCAGGAGGGGGCGGTCAGGGGACAAGGAGCAGGGGGGATTGAATGAGTCAGGAGTCTTAAGGGGGGCAGTCAGGGGGCGGGAAGTGGGAGGGGGCAGATAGGGGGCGGGGGCCAGGCTATTTGTAGAGGAACAGCCTTCCCTACCTAGCCCTCCATACAGTTTTGCAACCTGAATGTGGACCTCGGGCCAAAAAGTTTGCCCACCCCTGATCTATACACAGAGCTTCAGTTTTTAAGATATTGGCTGAAAAATGTATGCAGTAAGCTACCTGGAAATCATCTTCTGTGTCTTGAAGATGAAGGGCCTGAGCCATCTCTCTGTGGATTTGTACCTCTGGCTAAATTATTTCAAACCTGTTGGTTGCGTCACAAAATCAAAGTAATTCTGCAAAGCATAGTTTATTCTGATAATATCCTGTCCTTCTCTAGGCTCTGAAAAAAAGACAGCAGAGCTAGCATACAGGGAGTGATGTTTGTACTTCCATGTCCTTCTTTAAGCTGCAGGGAGAACCTAATAGTATATATAAAGCATTCTATTTTCAAAGTGCTATTCAAATATTAACTAAATTTTCCTCTCAGCCCCACTGTGAGATGGGTAGATAAATCAGTACTGTTTTACTGATGGCAAGACAGGCTCTTAGAAATAAGACCCTCATTTTCAGTTTCTGAGCACACAGAGATTTCCTTGACTTCAGTCTGAATGGGGAACTTGACACCTCTGAAATTCAACCAGGTCCTAAATTAATTGCCCAAGGTTGGATAAGTAGGCATTAGAATCTGGAATTAAACCAAGATTCTTGATTGTTAAACCAATGGCTAATCCACTGGGCCTCAGTGCCTTCAAGACAATATGCTTAAGTGCTCTGTCTCACTTTCCCAATTCATACAATTTAAATAATATTTTGTGCTTATATAATGCTTTTTAAATAATTGGTCTGTATATCTGAGAGCACTGCAAGGTAGGTAAGTATAATTATGTCCATTTTAAAGAAAGGAAAACTGATGTACATAGAAGATAAGAGCCTTTACCAAAGTCAGTCAAAAAATTCTAGCTATGTGCTTTAATGCAGTTTAAGGTCACAGCAAGCCAGTGTCAAAAACAGGGTTGGAAACACTCAGGTGTCCTGAGTCCTAGGTCTTAATAATCAGATCATGTTTTTACCAGGCACTTTGTGGGTGCTTGCAGACATGATATGCAGATATGGCAACTCCTGAATCGTAGAATGTCAGGGTTGGAAGGGATCTCAGGAGGTCATCTAGTCCAACCCCCTGCTCAAAGCAGGACCAATCCCCAATTTTTGCCCTGATCCCTAAATGACCCCTTCAAAGATTGAGCTCTCAACCCTGGGTTTAGCAGGGCAATGCTCAAACCACTGTGCTATGCCGCCTTCCCTCCAGCCCAAATCTGACCAGTCTTATTTTATAGCAGTAGGGTAGAAGGAGAGGGAAACTGAATACCAAATTCTCTTATGCTTGTGCCTCTGGGGTCCCATTCTTTCATTGGTAGTGGTGATGCACATAACCTATAGCTGCCCCTGCAGTTGGGAGGCCTGGAGTGGTGTGAAAGGAGTGACAAAGGTGAAGATGGCAGGAGAGGAAGGGAGCACGAGCCACCAAGTCATGGCATTTGATGATTTTCTTGACACTCTACGTTTAAAAGACACACGAGGCATGAAACGCTCAGCTTTTATTTAAAAACGCTTCTAGCCCTCATAATCCTGAAAAAAGCTTGAAGACCTTAGTAACTAGTTCACAATCTGTTTGTCTAAAGCCTCGTGATTTTTAAGCCAGTCTCCTGCTGTTTGGGGTCTAACCAATGCATTTTGAATGGTTGCTAAGACTGTGCCTCCTGCAAACGTCTAAGGTTATGCCAGACTAATACTGCTCGGGAATCGGTGGCTTTGAAATGTACCGGCCTGGGAGACCCCACCACCCCTTGGAGTTAACAAGGCGTGTGGAGAGAGCACGAGGCTCCGCCCCCTCAGCCCCGCCCCCCGCCGCTGCGGCTGTCGCTGCAGGTAGCCGGCACCAGGCGCAGTCAGCGAAAGAGGCTCGAGCCAGGCCCCGCCCCCGCCGTCACTGAGGTGCGCCCGGATCTCGCTGAGGCGTTCACCTGTGGGCGGATGGATACGTGCGATGGTTTGCACTCCACCTCTAATTTAAACACAGTGGGAGGATCTTTTTGATCTCAGTTAAATCGGAGAGGCTGCGAGCGCGCGGGAAGGCCACCAGGCAGTCTCATGGTGCAGGAGCTTCTGGACTCTATTGTTCCAAACCGGGGACTATTTTCTTATGCTGGGTTGGACGCATTACTCGGCCAGGAAGGCTTGAAGGCGGATGTAGCTGCAAGTAGTTCCGGTTGAGGAAGTCTCTCTGCAGCCGGCTGCCGGTGCCCGGTTGCGGGAGGGTTGGAGCGGAGCCGGTCCTCGCTCTGCGAGCGCGTCGGGAGCCGCCGCCATGTCGACCCGCTCGTGCCGGGAGAAGGCGCAGAAGCAGAACGAGCAGCACCAGGCCATCCTGGCCAAGCTGCTGCGGGAGGAGGACAACAAGTACTGCGCCGACTGCGAGGCCAAGGGTACGGCCGGGCGGACGGGGAGGGGCCGCGGGTGCTGGCAGTGCCCGGGCGGGGCCGCGGGCTCCGGGGCGATGTGGCCCGCGGTCGGTGGAGCGAGGGCGCGGGTGGGCGTGGGCCGGGGTGACTCCCTGCGGGGGAGCGGGGCCGGGGTCCCGGGCAGAAGGCAGCAGAATGGGAGCTCTCCGCTGCGCCGGCGGCCGGCAGAACGGAGCAGCCCCGGGGCAGCTGACTTCTTGGGACGCGGTGCGTGGGGCAGGTCTCGTTATCGGCCGCTGCCCCGGGCCCGAAGGCGGAGTCCGGGATGGCGAGCGGGCTTTGCTCTGGCCGGGCTGGCCGAAGTGGGGGTGTCGGGTGAGGTCGGTGCTAGGTGGTTACCACCAGTGCTGTGTGCCGCGTTCCTGTGAGGCGCTGGAAACGCTCCCGGGGCTCCTGGTTTGCGGGAGAGCCGGCCAATCTCTGCCCGTGCTAATGGCTGAGTTGAAGTTCTTGTGGGGTATGGGCCTACGAGTACACTGGGCCCAAATTGCTTCCTGTAAACAAGCTGCAGTGAGGAAAAGAGCTGGGATTTGAACCGTTGCTGCAAAAACCGGTTGGACGGTTGATGCAAATCGATCATCTTTTCGTTTAATTGTAAACTAATTGTAATCCACAATCAGGAGCAAGCCCCTTGGGGTTTTTTGCAGTCTCTGACCTAAACCTTTCTTGAAGCTTCACTATTGCCCTTGCTTTCTAATGGACAGAAGTGAATCCTGTTTCAGTGGGTTGGTGGTTGGTCAGTGCACAGCATCAAGAAGAAAAGGAGTACTTGTGGCACCTTAGAGACTAACCAATTTATTTGAGCATAAGCTTTCGTGAGCTACAGCTCTTGGTTAGTCTCTAAGGTGCCACAAGTACTCCTTTTCTTTTTGCGAATACAGACTAACACGGCTGTTACTCTAAAAGCATCAAGAAGCTATCTCTTTAACATCCGGTACAGACGCTATTACTTGAGGTGTGAATGTTGCAACACTAGAATAAGGTGATATGTGTTTTAAAAAGTAATAACTTAATTGCCTAAGTGCTGAAGATGAGTCTTACACATATTAGACCTTAAATATTCATAAACAAAATATTTAGCAATATTGGTTTGAATGATGTGATGAGTGAAATCTAAGGTTTATTAGAGCATGGTCAGGCTTAAAACAGGGAAATTATTTTGTCCAAAAGTGACAGACTGCATACTTTGTTTCCTTTACTCTGAATCTTGTATCATATTTTTAAAAATGTAAAAATATTTATATAGTGGGTAATATAATAAAAGGCATAAAATAATTTTGGTCATTACCTTGTTTCAACAAGTGTGATACTAGTCCTTTGTATTAGCTCAATAATCAACTGCTCCATTGTGACAGCCATAGCTATGATGGTCAGGACAGGGACCTGAACTGGGCACCTCCTAAGATGAAGCGTGAGACTTTACAGTTTGAGTTAGAGGACTAATTTCAATAGCCAGGAGCTCTGTCAGATTTATATCTTTTTGTGGATCAGCCATGGGGTGGAGAGAAAGGGAGAAATACTTAGCACACACCAAACTCTGCATTATTTAAGCTTTTCTAGACAAGTATCACATTAAACTGTACAGCATGTAGCACAAAGAAACCCCAATCTTGACAGAAAATAGCTTTTATGAAAACATAGGTCTTTTCCATCACTAGTTCTGTGTCATCTAGGTTTCCTTTCCAATGCACGATTGTTGAATACTTGCTAGTGTTCTGTCGGTAATGTTATCTCTTTTCAGCAAGCTATGACCATTTTCTGGCTATTGTCCTCCCCCCTTCCACCTCCATTTCCAGCTCTTTCTGGCCTCAGGCCTTCGATCAGTCCCTCGTAAAGCCACGTGGGTAGTTTTGTTTCTTACATTTTTTCAGAAGGTATGTGGTATGTTTGTGACATTCTGCACTCCATATTTACCATGGTGATGTAATTATACTGTGTTTTGTAGGAAGTATGCTTTGCAAAGTGTCATTCTAAAAGTCTTGATCAGGTAACCATTAATATCTCATTGGATTGTATGTGCTGTCGTATATGAAGTTTTGCTATGTACGTGTTACTGAAAGATGTTGTAAAGTTGAAGACACCCACAACTAGCCTTTCAAGTAAAACAGCGAAGAAGCTAGACAGTGCTAATGGCCTGTCAACAAAGACAATGGACTATAGAAGACCTTATCCTTCCCTGGGGACTCCTAGGCAGCCTATGGATAATGGCTGCTATGACTCAACAAGGCATGTGACCAGGTCATATGATACTGAACACCATTTGGGTACCTGTACTTTTCCACAAACTGGGCTGGGAACCGGGCTTGGAAGAAAGGGGTTCCCACCATATGGAAAAACTATATAAGGGGGAAGTGACCTCATGACTAGGACTCACTCCCCTACAAGACAACATCTGGAAACACTGGAGAAACAAAGACTGAACTGGGGCGGGGGGGGGTCCTAGCAGGTAAGAAGAAAGCCCAGCCTGTGTAAGGAGGCTAAAACCTGCTTCTGCCATGAGTCAGAGTGAGAAATTGCTGATTCAAATCCTATCCAGTTTGTATGAGACTTAGACTGAAATTTTTTTTGTTTGCTATCACTTAATCTCCCTTTCTGTAGTTAATAAACTTGTTTTGTGTTTTATCTTAACCAGTGTTCTTGAGTGAAGTGTTAGGGAATCTTAGCTCTGTTAACAAAGGCTTGTACATATCTCCCCTGCATTGAAGGAGAAAGGGGACTACTTGCACCGTACAGACCCCTGTGCAGTGGTATAATACTGGGTTTATGCTCCAGTAGCGGTGCAAGGCTGGGGAGCTGGGAAATTGGCCGGTACCTTTATTGTTGGTCCATGAGTGGCTTAGGTAAAGCACTCGGGTGACTTGGTTGGGTGTGTGGTGCCATCTGCTGCTGTTTTGAGTGATAACAGAGGCTGGCTAGGTCTCCTCATCAGAGCAGTGTGAGAGAGACCAACCCAGCTGAATTGTTAGGGGGCACAGAGGTTCCAACAGATCTCAGGCTGCACCTTGAGGGTACAACCCAACTCCATGTTGTGCTTGTTAGTATTCACTGTCTCCTTCACACTTGCGGATTTTAATGCTTAGCACCTAAATGAGTCTTTAATTTACAAAGAGTGTAGTAAATTTGTCTCATAACCACCATAATGTAGATTTCTTAGAGCTCCAGAATTTGATTACTTGAAATCTTACATCTTTGTACTTTGACTCGGTCTTCATCAAACACTGCTCTCTTTAATCTCTGCTGAGTTCCTCCTCTTCGATAATCATCTTCTCTTTCAGTTGTCTATTATACCACCACCATGCCCTCTCACTTAGTCTTTATGTCCATGTTCTGGTCTCTCTCTTCTCTTCCATTAATAGGGCTGCTGATTCTGTCCATGCTTTTCTCTTTTTCTCCCTCCCCTCTCCCCCCACCCCCTTTGACTCTTTGGTGCCTGTCTTCCATTGCAAGGTCCAACCTGCAGCCCTGATGCACCCTTAATATCTGTTTCCTCCTCTTCTGCTCTTGCAGTGCACGGTGTCTCTTGCAGAAATCCCATGACCAGGCTGACATTCTCCACTACAAATTTATTCTCTCCTGTTTCAGTTCTGCCATCTTCAGAGCTAGATAGCTCCGGGTCTCAAGTTAAATGAATTGCACACTTGCAATCCTGGTTACCATATATCCACCATGGGCACGTGCGCTTGCTCGCTCGCTCTCTTTGTGCACAGAAGCTTGCAGATGTCTTCCAAGAGAAAATTGACAAAATACAAGATTATCTTCCCCCTTGGCTTGGCTTGCTTTCTCTTCCCTCCCACAATTCTCTTCTCCTTGTCACAGATGCAGAACTTTCTAATGTACTCTCTTCCTCTAATCCTTCCAATGGCCCCATCCCAGTGGAACCCGTTAATCTGATCTAATTGGGACCAGGGCTAGATTGGATAATCAGGAGAATTGGCAAAGAGCTTTCTATCCCTTATTTCAAGATGGGGGTAGGGTGGTGTCAGCCCTGGGTGGCTGGTGATTTGGTTAGACTGACCAGATGTCTCGATTTTATAGGGACAGTCCCGATATTTGGGGCTTTGTCTTATATAGATGCCTATACCCTCCCCCCCCCCCGTCCCGATTTTTCACCCTTGCTATCTGGTCACCCTAGGTTGGGTTAATATGGAGAGCTGGATAATGGAGTCTCTGATAAATGGGGTTCTACTGTATATCAGTAAAACATTGTGTTCAATTGATACCTATATATATTGTGGCTAGGGAAATTAAAGTTCAGCATTTCATTTCAATTGCAGAAAAACGTGGATTTTTGTTTCATTATATAGTTTATTTTTTTAATCATGGGGAAAACTAGGATCCTTGCTGATAATTTATCATTGGTGTACAGCATCTGTCTTAGAGTCTTTAATATAAAGAGAGTAAAATCTATCATATCCCTTAGTAAGTTGTTCCAGTGGTTAATTACCTCAACTATTAAAATTTGCACTGTATTTTTCCAGTTTGCATCGGTCTTCTTTTTTACGGCTATTGGATCTTGTTATATCTTTGTTTAATGGATTAGAGCCCCCTAATATCAGAAAATTTCTCCTCATGTAGGTACTTACAGACAGGAGGTGCTTCTTAATTTTCAAGTAAGTGATGATGTCTGGTACCACGTTCCCCCTTTTTTTATATTCTGAATTAATTCTCTGGCAAGAATTCAATTCAAAGTGGTTTCTCTTGTAGTTGGGGTATCTATATCCAGATGTAAATTCAACTTGTCACTGCTAAAATAATGGAAAATAAGTATCAAGTTCCCCGAAAGGGTTTTGAGGGATTTTTATACCCAGCAACACTGGATTCACTACTGGTTTCTCCTGTCCACAAGAAGACTAAATAGTCTAAGAGCATGTCTAAAGACAGCATAAGATCACTTCTTCTTAAGTAAATAGTCTCTGATCACAGAAGTCTCCTGCAGTGTAGGATGAATCTAAAACTCTTCACAC